TACCAGGGCAGGTAACTTCCTGAAACAGGAAAAGTATTCAGAGAAGGCATTCTTTGTGAGCTTTTAACAGGCTTTAATAGTTGGAATATGAAGTGAGACCTCCTCTCGAATGCCCTTTGAGAATGCCCTTCTATGGGCTTGAACCTTAGCCTAACCACCAAAAGTTGACTCTCTTGGCAAGAAACGACTTGTGCAATCGCTTTCAGACATCGTATGTAGATTTAGGGAGTGGTTTGGATATTTTGTGTATGTGTGTGTCTGGCAAAGATTAAAAAAGAATTTTGCTTTGTTTGGTTTGATTGGTGTAACATGGAGCTAATTACATATTCAGTAGACCTTTCAAAAAACTTGAAATTCTAGAAGTACTGAGGAGAGGTTATTTTAAAAAAAAAAAAAAGTTCTGATAAAAGATTTGGATTTACTTGAGCTACTGAAAGCGTTGAACTTGGGCAGGGTAACTCCTCATTCATAGAGAAAGTCCTCTGACTGAAGGGCTTGTGAGCTGAGAAGGCTAATCGTTTGGTTGTAATTTTTGTTGTCTGAATCTCATGTTAAATGTTCTGCCTTGGCAGGTTGCCGTCTAGCTTGTTAAAGCTAAAGAGTTGGACCTAGATTGTATATCTCTAGGGCTTACATGATTGGAGAGAAGGGAGAAAATACTTTCTATTTAAATTCAAATTTTCTCTACCATGGGGAAAGATTGACAATATTCCAAATAGCCATTTTTGTTTGCAGATAATGGTGATCCATTCACTAGGGTGTATTCTGCATGCCGTTTTTCAGGTTGAAATCAACTACGATCCATGCAATACAAACTTTCCTAAATATATTCTATGGTATTGATGGCTTCTCTCTTTGTAATTTAGTGTTTAACTGTTGTTTTGGAGTAATTTGTGCTTTAAGATAAGGGTGTGTTTGCTCTAGCTGTGTTGTGGAAGCTAGGTTTTGTGGTACTGCCCCCATCAGGAACCTGTGCTTCAACGTTTAATAGTTTTTTCATAAAGATATAAAGAACTATAAAGGATTTAGCAGTTCTACCTCTTTCCTCAAGTATTGTTTTAATGGACTGTTAGAGAAGTAACAGAAGCTCTTGCTGTCTTGAAAAGTCTATGCAAGTGAAGGATATTATGTTAAATGAGTTCTGAGTTCTGATCGTCGGTGTCTGCCTGACCACGGGTAAATCTTTTTATTTCCCTTTTACAATTTGCAGGTCTATAAAATTATGGATCGATCCTCTTGCACAATTCTTGAATGCTTTAGTGTTAGAGAAGCTACCTGCAGATGAACAAGTATATTTTCTATTGTTCAGTGTTTGGATTGACTGTTTTGCCTGATGTTTTTGTATTTGAGATTTTTCAGAGAATGTAATGTAGAACTGTTCTGCGCTTGACAGGAGGTATTTTGCATTTAACTTTATATGCAGCGAGTCTTGGACTTAATCAGCCCAGAGTCAAAGTAATGAGGGCCCTGTGCAAGAAATGAGCTATTGATTTTGAAATTACTCATTTTACTACTCTAATATAGAATTAGTATGATTCCGAAAACTCATCTCTGAAATAGACACTATTTAATTTCAGTTTGAGGTGGGACAGAAATAGACTTCAAGGGTTTTACTGTTGAAATTTGGCATGAGGTCACATCACAGATGATGGGGACCCTTCAGCCTCATGTAGAGCCAAATACTCCGCTCAAAATATCTGTGATGAAATGCTTCTTCCTCTTATTTGAGATGGGATTGTAACATAATGTCTCCTTTATTTGTCACTGGTAGCTAAACCCTGTTGCTTTCTGTTGCTAAGTATTTACAACACCTTCAGGATGAGAGAAATGCTGCCAAGAAGGTTCATTGTGAGAAAACTTGACCTACTTTGCATTTGGCACCTCTTAGCCTGCCAAGACCAGGTAGACTGTGAACAGACCTTCAGCATATCTTCAGTGAAGACATGCGGGCTGACACTGAGATGAGGAAGCCCTGTTATGGCAAAGCAAATATTGCAAACAGTCAGAGGTTAAACTTTTTTTTTCTTTGCCCTTTCTCCCTTGGAGTCGCAAAGGGGGCTTGCCTGGAGAAGGGACAGAGAGGTTGTGTGGAGTTTTTTTTGTGTGTATGTGTTTTCCACGCTTTTTATGCTGCTGGTTCTTAGCTTTCTGGCATTGGAGTAGGGAATCAATTTATGCTTTCTGTGATCGCTTTGAACAACTCTAAACTGCTCATGCCATGAGATTATTGCAGCTCCCCTTCTCCTGCTGCATAAATGAAGAGAAATGGCTACACGTCTGATTTTTTCAAATCTACATTTTTGCTTTACAGGTTGTGATGGAATTTTCATTATGTAGTATCACTGAAGGTATTAGTAAGCTATACCTGTCAAGTAACAGGGATCGCTTTGCACATTTTCTCCCTAAAAATTCGTTCTGTGCTTCTTCCCTTCCCTTTTCCCTCCTCCTCTCATGTAAAACACAAAACTCCATAACATTTTGACAGTTCAGCATTCCTACTTGCAATGTGTAAACTGAGGTACAAAACTGGGTAGTTTATACAATAAGTCTGTGGTGTGCGTGAAAAGAAAATGGCGTGCGGTTTTCACGGTTTTCATCCGAGCAGTCATAGACCTCTGTGTTAGGATGCAAGAAGCATACCTTGAAAATGTCTGCTCATTTCATTCACTGACTGTGAAGGGACCCTAGATGTTTTCATTAGGTGTGAGATGCCTAATATTGATCAAATGGATTGCACCTGAGAAGTTTTCCAAGCATAGCTTTTGGACATTCTGACTTCAGCTTTTTAAAGAAAGAAATTGTGGGTTGGTTTGGTTTGTTTTGACAAAAATGAGAGGATCAAAGCAAGGTTTGAGGTACCTAGATAATAGGCTCGTGCATTCTTTATGTTAATGGCTTTAGATAAGATGAGGATTTGGGTTGGGTTTTCTTGCTATGAACTGAAGATTTCCTATGATGAGGTTCACAGAAGTACTGTCCTAACTTCTGTTACACTGTTAATTGTTTTCAAGGACAGTTGAAGGAAATGGGTCTTACTAATTTGTCCAGTGTTAAGCCAAACGCTGGAAACAGCTTTACTGTTGACTCTTCAGTGGACAAGTATGGAGCCCCATCCTGGAAGTGTGCATGGTGAAATGACAAAAATAAGTCAGTACGCTTGTACGTTCAGTCAGTTCCTGTAACGTTAGGCTGATGGAGGGTCTCAGCGCTACAATGTAAGATGACTTCTGAGTTGTCTGTTCCATCCCACTCCGACACCTTGAGCAGGAGCGTGTTCAGCATTCTGAGGGACTATAAGTTTCCATATTGTATTCTTTCCATAGCAAGGGTAGTCATTGTAAGAAAAGGTAATGTCTGAATTGCATGGTTAAATGATAGTGATTTGAGAGACAGCATTCAAAAGCTGTTCACATTTACGCAGCTCATATGTTAGTCTGAAAGCTAAAGATCACCACTGTGGTGGCTTTAACTCATGTATTATTCTATTTAATAAACTACAAAATATTTAAAGATTGGAAGACATAATTTTATTATCACTAGCAGCAGCATGAAGCTGCATCCCTCAGTTAGAGTTGGAAAATCACCAAAAGAATTGTCTGTAATACGTGAAAGGTCTGGAGTTTGGAGGCTGTCCATTAGTGTCCTGATATCATCATCCTTGTCTCAGTTCAGAGCCTTAAATACAAAGGTCACACCAATTTTTCCTTAATTAGTTGCCTCCTTCCCTTCTGGATTATTAATGTCAGCAAAGCAGTTGCTGTCTCTTACTGTACTGAATACTTTAGGGTCTAGATTCTCTGCATGACCAGTGGCAACGTTAGTTGGCTAGTACAAAATTAAGAAAATAAAACTTGCTTTTGCTTCTTTCTGTGTTGAATAGTTGTTGTAAGTGTTCTGAAGGTGTTCTCACCGCTGCTTTACCTTGCTTCTGGTCTGTGACTACTTAACCTGTGACACTGTCTGTACTCAAAGAATGGCTTGAAACTGCGTTCAAAAATTTTTTCTGACTTATTTTTAGTAACCTAACGTTAGCTTTAATGAAGGACACTAAACAGCTTAAGGCTTTTATGGATTGTCTCTTATGTATAAAAGATCCCATTTTAATGTGATTCTTATAGGTTTTCTTCCCCCACCATCTACTTTTATCTGAGCCAATGAGAGTAAGATTCCTAAGGCTACTTTCTCTTTAAGGGCATACTGCTTACATAAATATTCTTTTAAATCATCTTATTTTATAATATTAATTGTTTATCAGGAGATGTGAATTATTCCTTAGAAATGTGTTTTCCTGGTTGTACATGCCTCGTTACTATTTCAATTATGCAGATTCTCGATGCTGTGGAAATTTGTGCTTGATGACGCCAAGGCAGCTGCACGTTGTTAGCATTGTAGGCTGTCAGATGATCATGTGGGATTCTTGCAGCATGCAACATTCAATAGGATTGAAAAAGGGCTTTTGATGCAAGGCATAGCTCTCAGAATATATTTGTGCCTTTTAGTTAGCTAATATAAAAACATAATATATTATATTTAAATTTAAAATGCTGCCTCATTTTTCTTCTGGTTGGTTTCATTTTGGCTTCACTAGAAGATGCATCTGGTACATCCACGATTGAGGAGTTTATTAATGATACTGTCGTTCAGTTCACTTACTTTTTTTCCTTTTAGAGTCCTAGCTAGCCCACAGATGACATGATCACATGTTCATGCAGTCATTCATATAGAACACAAACCACCATGCATGATTTCTTCTTCTTTCTTTTTCCTCTCTGCCTTTTTTCTTTCCTTTAAGTTGCCTTGTCATGTTCTCTTTTATCATTAAGCTCAGTCTTTGTCTCCCCCCCCCGCTATTTGTTCTATATTTTCCCATGCTTGGTTACTGCAATATTATTTGATTAACTGGCTGTGATGATGATGAACCTGCACACTGGAGGAGCAGCTACTACAGTGGTGATGAAGGGATGTAATAATGGTCGCTATCCTCGGAATTCTCTCTACAGTGACTGCATCATAGAAGAAAAGGCAGTGGTCCTGCAGAAAAAAGACAATGAAGGATTTGGATTTGTGCTCAGAGGGGCAAAAGGTAGGTGCCTCTGTGTGTGTGTGTGTGTGATGTGCGCCGGCATGAAGAAATTTATACATCTCTGAATATAAGCAGGAATTATTCTTGGTGCACTTGGTTGCTAGACAACAGGATTCTCTGTATGCTGTACTACTCGGATGGATTTTAGGGGCTTCTTTCTGCCTAAAGCAGTTTGCGTTTTTGCACAGCAGAAGCACCGTGCAATCATTTGGGGGAGAGAAAGTTTTATTTGCATTTTTACTGCGTTGGCATATGTGATATTTTGTCGTTTATCTGTTTTGTTATGCAGTTTACCTAACTGGGAAACCTGCTTCTCGTATAAAAACCTGCTGCTTTATTTCAAATGTCAGTCTGTTTAAATAGGTCTATGAATAGAAATAGACAAGAGAGCGATGTTTTGTTTAAAATAGGTGTGGATCTTCTGCGAGGTGACATTGGTGCAGTTTTAGTATGAAAATCTGATCTTTTTTTATATCTTCAGAAGCTGCACGTATGTTGCATGGCCTGTAGTGTGCTCATTTGAAAAGCTGTTCATATGTTAAACTGCACGTTACTTTTCCATAGACTAAAACCCGTATTAATGACGTTCTTAAAAGTTAAAAAAAAGCATTCTATTTAATGCTTTGCTTTTTAACCTTCAGTCCAGTTTGCTCCTTTTGTATTTAAAAATAAAAACATGATGGTATGTCCCATCTCTTGCTCCCCCTTGTTTTTCCGTGGGTTCTCCCTTGCCTTGCTCGAGCATGAAAAATATTCCATACCTTCATTCCTGGGACATCATTTTTGCCTTAACAGCCCCCTCCCCCAACCCCTCAGTGAGTGGCACCATGGATTTTCAGTGTTGTAAAAGCTTTTCTAATTTTAGCTAAATAAATATTTTTGGAGTCCTACAAGGAAAGCCAATAGCTCTACCTTTTAGCTAACCAGTTGGCATGAGTTTTGTCTGTGCATCAAGCAGAGGTTAGTCCCTCTGTGTAAGCTCCCAAATTCTCCCCTAATTTTTCTGTAACAGTGGGGGCACCTCAGGTGAAAGACCCAAGGACTTTTCCACTCCTATGTGTACGTGACAGAGAGAGAGAGAGGGCTGTTACAAGGCCTGCTGTGCCTTCTTTCTGTAAAAACGTGGTTTATTCTGTTACCTTCTTTGTAGTATGCATCTAGATCTAGAAGAAAAATTTATTTAGTTGTTTGTTTTTTTATTTCCCCGTTCTCACCCCGTTTTTTGCCCAGATGCTCTGTTTTGACGGCACATAATTCGTCTTTAGTTGGATGTTTCCAGAGTTGCAAGCGGTTTTGCTAGGCTTACAAAAGGTTTGCTTGAAGTGATAGTGAAGTAATACTGTATATACTGAAATAATCAGGATCCAGCTACTGCCTCATACAGCTTGATTTATTTGTGTCAATAAAGCAGCATGTATTTTCCTCTGTGAATTGAAGACCTGTGGATTGCTATTGCAGAGAGGTTGCACCCTGTTCCCAGCATCTTGATGGGATCATCATCTCTGAGGCAGAGTCCCCTCACTTTCAGCACCCACCATTTTTTAACTATAAACGTGAATGGCCGGTAATGGGCCTAAGCCGAGTGGTATTTGTGAACGTTCCATAATTTTCTTTTTTAATGTGGTATTTATTTTTAAAGCTGACACACCAATTGAAGAATTCACCCCAACTCCAGCCTTTCCTGCTTTGCAGTACTTGGAATCTGTGGACGAAGGGGGAGTAGCATGGCAAGCTGGCTTGAGAACTGGAGACTTTTTGATCGAGGTAGGAGATCCTGAAATTTGATTGTGAATGTTCTGTTGGGGAAAAAGTGACGTTCCCTTTGCAAAATTTACATTGGAAAAAGCATATGATGCTTCTCAATAGCAAGTTCACTGGACTAACACCAACAATGTACTTCACTTTTTGTTTTGTTTTGTTTTTTTTTTAATGCAGCATTTAGGAATGCAGGAAAAAGAACAACATTCAGATTAGTTGGGAAGTTCCTGTTTGTTCTTTTTAGTGTTTGGACATACGGTGTCAGAAAAATACTGGGATTTTGAGTCTCCTTTGCGTTACTGAATTGAAATTTAATTTAATTTGGATATTTATCAAGGCCTACCAGTTATTTTCTAAATATTTTTGAGAGATTCACTGAAATTAATGACTTCTTGTGCAACTACTTCTGCAGTCAGAAGTATCAGTAATGTAGTGCAGGTGAGAATGAAACAAATGCCTTTGGCTTGAAATAAAATATTTGCAACAGTGTGTTGTAAATTCAGTCATAAAAATAAGGAATGGATGTTATTGCTAAAATGTAAATTAAATGATCTTTACATTTCATTTCTATCAAAAGTATCTTCACGTTTTATATTTTGGTGGTTTTTTTGATTGGCAATTTAGGTTCTGTTATAAAATAGTCAGTAATCCTTTCTAGTGTTACTGGGAGGCTTGCAACACGATCATGAGAAAGTGTTTCTCCCCCCCCCCCCCCCCCCCCCACAACCCCTCCGTGACTAACCAAGTGATGCTGTGATTCTGTAAAACTGTTTAAAGATTAGTCTTTCAGGATGTATCGACAAAGTCGAGGTCTTGGTTGTAAGATCTATTGATTTTTCTTCAGGTGCATATTTATTTTGTTAAGATATTTACTGGTGCTGTAAGGTTTATTTCTGCAGAGCTGGCTTTTGCATTCAGGAGAGGATAGACTTGTACAGCTTTCATTTGCTGGGTGCATTCAGACTCCCTAACTGTATTAAAATAGCTGCACAGCTTCTTTGCTTTGTAACAATGAAAGAACAGGCTTCATAGACTTTTAAAGTAGAGAGATGTGCGTTTTTGTTTAGGCCTTCAAAGTACCTTTTTCATAATCTGTTAGTAAGCTAAAATTGTACTGATAGGTAATCTTTGCTCAAGGATGCTTTCAAAAATATGATTATTGACGTGTTAGGTATTCTTTTCAAAAATCTTTTTATTTAGTTATTTATTTTTAGGAAGATTATCTTTTATTAGGTTTTTAACCTGTAGGAAAGATGAGTAGGTCTGTACTAGCTGATTTCACAAATACATTTGACGGTAAATAACGTGTATCTTAAAGAGGGGATTACAGGCTGATAAGTATGTGTATGAGTGTTTTTAAGGTCTCTGAAAGGATCCAAAAAGTCTTGGGTAACTAATGCTGAACAAAGGTTTATTAGTTTTCTTGCAAATAAGAGAAGGTTCATAATTAATTGTCCAGACGTTTTATTGACTGCTAGCTTTATCTTAGAGCAGTTGCACATGCAGCAAGATGCTTCTTCTGAATCAGAAAGATCGTTGAATCAGGGCGTTAATCCATACTTTATGCTTCAGCTTATTTGTAATCAATTCTGAAAGAAGCAAGTGTTACATGCAAATCAAATCCGTTCCTGTGTAATCCCTAACGATAGGGTTATTCTGTTCTGAATTTTGCAACTTTAACAGGATATAATAATCCTGAAAAATCACAGCTTTACTATTTTGAAGACTTCAGTGTCGGGGAAAATGCAGGGTTTTCTATTTTATGGACTCCACGTGTAGTGCACGGTACTGTCTTGCGATAGAGAGCCATCTTTGAAGATACGGATGCAAAAAGATACCACTGTTGAAATATAAACGATGGGTATGCAGTTAGCCTCACCTGCGCTTCTAGGAATAGCAAGCTACTTTATTTTTTATGTTGGATTAATAAGAATTAAATGTACTTTATATTGCAGTGCATGGTTATCACAACTGGTGTATTTATTCTGTCTTATTGTCAAATGATTTCTTCCGTGACTCAAAAGTTTATGCTGCTGCTGCTGTGTAAGTGCCACCTCAGCTATTTCTAAATAATCATTTATCATAAATGTCACATGAATAATAAAAGAGTTAATGGGCAACCAGGATCCTTGTTAGGCCCATCAGTAACACTCGAGGCAAGTGTCAGGCTTGGGGCAAGTGGGAGTCCGGTTCGGCAGAGGGCAACTGCAAGGGGGGCGGACGGTTAGCTCCTGCTGGCGGGGGCTCGGTGGCTTGGGGTCGCGGAGGCAAGGGGAGCCTTTCCCTGACTCCTCACTATGGAAAGAGAAGCTTGGCAGGAAGATGGGTCCTTTTTCGGAAGTGGAGGCGGTCATGAGGGTAGGTGAAGAGAGGGCATGGTTTCTTCATGTGTAATGATGGTCTCTGAAGGGTAAAACCTCAACAGTACTCGAGAGCATCCTAAATTAGTTTGGTGTTGAAGGCAACGTATGTTGAGCAGAACAGATAGAGGATTTGTAGAGAAAAGGGAGACAAGGTTTTCTCTTGCTTCCGGGGTACACAGAGAGGTTATTAGCTGGAATGGAGTTGGCACAGTTCCATCTGGCAGAGAGGGATTTTTTGTCAAGTTTGTACTTTTTTTTTTTTAAGAAGCCACATGGTACTGCTTTGTTCATCCTGTACAGCTGATTTTAATATGAGATTTTAGAGTTAATATTAAATTTGCCCATGGAGATATAGTGTTAAATGACTCTTTGTTAAAGTTTCTGATAACACATGTTCTTTCTCCTTATTTCGAACATGATCACATTTTTTTTTGTCATAAAAACTATAATGTTTAGTGAGTTTTCCTGATAGAGCACAAATAAAATGTATTGGCAAAGTGCTTGAGTAGGTTTAAAGCTCAAACAGGTAGCTAGAGGCAGCTGCCGTGATATGTTCATATTCATAAGCAATTCCCCAGTTTAGAATGCATGTGATTTTTTTTCTTAGCCTTAATAAACAATCGGAAATGGAGTATGGTTTTTAACTTGATTGTTTTAACTGAGAGATACTGTAGAGCTTGTCCTATTTGCTACTTTTTTTTTTTGATGTGATTTTTTTACTGAATTTCAGTATCTGCCCAATTGAAAAGTCAGATAAAAAATAAAGCAAGATATTAGTGCAGGTGTTATCCAAGCTAAAAGATTATGGTTTCTGTTAGGAGGGGGTTTCAAAGATTATGACCACTGTTAAACTATACAGCCGTTGTAAAGTCATCGGTGTGACTGGATATTTGTGGTATATTTATTTAGAATTTGTAAATGCTTGATCAGAAAGAAATCAAACAGCAAGTCGACTCGATTTGTTAATTGAAACATTTGCAAGAAAAAGGTATGTAGGCTCTGACTCTGAACCTCTCATTTATGAATGATCCTTAGGCCCCTGGCGCTCTGTTAACTTTGTATAGTGTTGAAGTCAAACTAAGCATAAGCGAAGAGGAATCATGAGTACTCCTGTTCGCAATCTCCTTTTTTGAGATTTGCTTTAATAGCGTATTACACCTATAACCTTTTTAAAGTTAAAATAGATCCATTTAACAGAAATAGTGTTGTTTTGTTTTTAATCCCAGATTCATTTTTGGTTTCTTTTTTTAATATGGTAGAGTATAGACTATTTTATTAAATTAAAGCTCAGTCAGTTAGTAACTATTTGTTATTGTTGTAATTAGAAGATGTGCAGCTTATTTTACAGGTGTTGCATGATATGTGGGGCTTTTAATTTGTAACAGTGCACATCGAATATCAAGTGATAATGTCATAATATCCTTACTTCAAAAGTGAAACTAATTCTGTAATATTTAACGCATTTATTCTCTAAGTGAGGCATTGCAGTTGGCGTTACTGTCCTATAAATAATCGTTTATTTTTACAGATAGATTCAAATGTTGTTATCGGAGTAGGATGGCTGTTTATTTGCATTCAATTAAAATGTAAACTAGATAAAACCAGTATACTATTAGTAAAAAAAACAGGAAAGCAAAATTTGAGGTTTGATTTGACAATCAAAACTGGAGATGTTAATAGAAGATATCGTTTTACTGCAGTGAATTCAGTTGGTACCTGTACTGAAAGGCAAAATGGTCTATAGTATAACTGCCTATGTATCTTTTTTCCTCAAGTGCTGTTAGAATTTGCTAGTACAATCTTTTTTTCTAAGTAGTAAGTGAAAAATAGATATCATTTTATTCCATACAGCATTATTTTATCATTGTATTAGATAAAGATATCTGTCCTCTGACTGAATGTAGGAAGTAGCAGTAAAGCATTTAGGCAGACTTTTAAAATACCTAGAATGAATTAAAAAAAAATTACACAGATGCATGCGTGCGCGCGCACACACACACACAGACACACAAAAGTAACTTTAGATTCAAATTTAGCAGCAGGTTGGGTTTTTGTTTTATTCCAGTAAACACTGTATACAAACTCCAGAACTGATCTGAACAGCAAGCTTTTGACTTTATTATTATAATTTACACTGTAGTCATGAATATTTTTGGCAAGTATAGCAATGTTATATCTTGTATCTTTATTCAGTTGCTGGCTGGATGAAATACTGGAGTTTTACAAGGCCATCTGATATTGATTTCAGTTCTTTTAGTAACAGGGAAACCTTCCTATCTCTAGGTAAACTTCATTAATTACCCTGTGGCTGAATTTTCTCTTATTTCCAGGGTGAACCTCTCCAGCTTCTGGCACTAGATCTTTTTGTACCTGTATCTAAACAATTTTTTTCAGGCACCTACATAAATAAAAATTTGTAAGCTACTTGGTTTAACTTTTTTTTTTTCTCTCCTTGAAAGATGTTGAGTTTTTGTTAGCATCTTCATAATAACACGGGTTCTCGCATTGCACTTTTTTTGTAGTTTTCTGCAAGTGTGTTCATATCCTCTGAAAAGCATGGCCACCAGCTTGGGGCAGTAGTTCAGTAACAGCCTCCCTAAATATTGCGTGTAGGAGGAGGAAAGCTAAACCAGCGTGTTCTTA